AAGAATCTGAGGATGGGGGTCAAGGACAGTAGGAAAGGGAGGGGGTAGGTAGCCTGGAAGTTTTGATAAGGTGGTTGTCAGGGAGTGGAATGTTTGAAATCAGGGCGGAGCTGTGGTCAACAGCAAGGTCTAAGGTGGGACCATGGGAGTGGATGTTTGTGATTGGGGAAGGTGAGAAAGGCAAGGAATTTGGGTAGTCCATTCATGTGTTTGTTGAAGGCACCCGGAAGATGACAGGTAGACCTGAGGCCGGAAAGCAAAGCCTTCAGTGAAAGAAGGAGGATGAGTACCTGGTGAATGGAGGGGCAGATATTTGACAACCACAAGGCATGTGTGTGTAATCTGAAGACAGGAGCTTCAAAGGAGCTGCAGTTTTAGAGAGAGGAAGCTGGGAGAAATGGTTTAATAGGTGCAAGAGGTGCAAAGAGGATACTTACCCCACCTCCTAGCCCCAAGATAACCTGGTGTGAGAGGGAACAGGGCCTTGAGAGGCTGTAGTCAAAGTGTGGTCTCAGGGGAAAGCTGGGTTTCCGGAAGGCCAGGAGAAGAGGGAGTGGTAGGAGCAATGAGGACATGGGGAAGTTTGTGGATCACAGATCCAGCTCTGGAGGGCTCTAGAAAAGGGCTTGAGAGGAATGTTAGGGGTGAAGGATTGGGTTGGATGATGAAAAAAATACACAGTACTAGCCTTGAACATCTGTGAGCTCTTGAGATGATCTGTTGACTCTCCTCCTTGTCAACCTTGATGGGACAGCAAGAGAGAGGGTCACCTAGGTCAGCCTGGTATTATTAGGTACAATTATCATCACCCAGCTCATCTCCCTGCCTCAGGACATAACTAAATATAGATCGTCCTACTTTCAGGTCTCCCAGAGAAAGTGATTTTATAATTTCTCTTGATAATGCATTCCATAGTTTAACAATCAGTACCAAGAACACTGCCTGACATATAGTAGGCGCCTAATAAGTTTGGTTGAGTTAATTGAATGCATTTATGGTGTGAAGACTTTCCTTTTCTTTCTCCTTTAGTTTACTCATGCTGTGGTGCTTGTCTGTTGTACTACTGTGACAAAATAGATCCCACAATTATTTTCCCATTTTATAATTTTCAGTATCACCAATAAACTGTTCTATATAATCTTTTACTCAAATATTAATTCTATTGTTATTTAGTTGTGTCCCTATCTGTATCTCGGGTCTCCTCAGCTAGACTTAAATACCCTCCATGGTAGATAGTGGTTTGCTGATTCTCTTCTCCACAGTGTCTACTGTAGTGAAGGCAGAGAGCTAATATTTACTAGTTGCTTTTTGAAAAAAAATTAATATACTCTCGAATTAATTCTTGAAATAATAAATACTTATTTTGAAAATTCATATGTATTCCTAGATAGCCACTGACAGGTCCCATGAACCAACACCTGACCTGGCACCCAGACTGCCTGGGTAAAGACTGTGGCTGTGTCCCTTACTTGCTGTGTGACCTTGGGCAAGATCCTTAATGTTTCTGTACCTCAGTGTCGTTGTCTGTAAAATGAAGCCAGTTAAGTTATCACAAATTTGTTTTAATGAATAAATTAATGTGTGTAATTACATGTTCATGGAATACTTTAATAAATGATAAAAAACTCAAGGCAGATCACCAATGAATGCCCATTGGTCTGTTCAAGAGACTGTATTGTGTCGGAACAGTTAGGCACACCCTCTACAAATAAAATACTATTAAATGTTTCACTTCTCAGGTAATTAAAACAGGACCAGATTGGTGAAGTTAGCATCGAAAAAGCAATGCCTCCCCTTTATAAAAAGGAGAAACATGAGAAAAACCTAGTAACTTAAGTTGAGGCATCCTGAAATAAAGACAGGGACTGCCAAAAAATGAGAGGTCATAGCATGAGGCTGAGGGTTTTGAGAAAATGTTTGCTATATACAATTAGGGAAACAGAAAATGCTACATTCAGTCAAACTCCAGAGATGAAGAAAGAGCAGAAAAAAACAGAAAATACCATTGCAGGGATTATTATTTGTTTCCGTTCACAAGGAATCCAGAGCCCAGGAGTATAGAGAAGCAGGAGGTAATGAAAACACTATTGTAACTTTTGATGAAAAGCAGGCTGGGGAGCGCTTTGCAAATAGGAACTTCGCAGAATCCTCAGAGCTACACGAATGTTCCTCAGGGGTAAAGAAGGGGGTATTTGCATTAACGTGTTAAAGAAAAACTAAGATAGGTCTAGAGGTCAAAATCAAAAAGGTGATTTACATTCAAGGACAGATGTAGATCTTGTTTCATCGGTAGTAAAATTATGAAACAAAAAGAAATTTAAAAAGTAAGCCTAGAGACTTTAAAAAAAAACATGATAAACAAAATTCAATAAAGGTTTTTCTCTTTTTTGAAAGAAAATGTAATCAACCCAAATTGCTTTTCAAATACTAGGTCCCTAAATAGGCAAGGAAGAATTATGCATTTAACGTTTTCATTTTTACAGTATTAGATATAGAATCCATAAGCTACCTATAGGAACATTTCTTTTTTTTTTTTTTTAAAGATTTTATTTATTTATTTGACAGAGACAGCGAGAGAGGGAACACAAGCAGGGGGAGTGGGAGAAGGAGAAGCAGGCTCCCCGCTGAGCCAGGAGCCTGATGCGGGGCTCAATCCCAGAACCCTGGGATCATGACCTGAGCCAAAGGCAGACGCTTAATGACTGAGCCACCCAGGTGCCCCAGAACATTTCAATTTCAAAGTAACGTCCTTTAGGTTTTCAGGGTGGTGGGATTAAATGTGATGTTTAATTTCTTTTTTCACAGATGATGTGTTATTTTGAAATAAAAAATTTTTTAAATTTACTTATAAAAAGTCACATTGATTAAAAATTGACCAAAAGACCCTAAACTGAGGAGAACTGGAGCTGGTTTGCCAGTGTTAGGGGAGAAGAAGATGGGGCCCCGTGGCCTCAGAAGCTGGCGTCAGAATCCTCTCCCTTCCCTATCTGGGTGTGTAGTCTGGAAGAAGTCAGGGTGACACAAATGTAATTTGCAGCTGACCCAGCATTGAGAGGTGTGGCTCGTATATTCAAGACAGCAAAACCACTGAAATCTGACTCAGAGACGCTAGAAATACTACCTCACAGTAATTTTAGAAAAGAGAAAGAGAGCAAGGCTGGCACTACACAACATTTAATTCGTCAGCCCTGACTGGAACTTGCTCTGGAACAGCAGAAAGGATACTGCGGTGTTTTTGCAGTCGGAAATCTGGAGCTCAAGCCCCCACTGGGTCTCTCAGGGACGGTGTACACTTGGGCAGATCCTTTAAACTCCCCGGGCTTCAATTTTCTCATCTTTTTTTTTTTTTAAAGACTTATTTATTTACTTTAGAGAGAGAGAGAGAGAAAAAGAGAGACAGAGGCAGGGGAGGGGCAGAGGGAGAGGGAGAGAGAGAATCTTAAGCAGGCTCCACATCTAGTGTGGAGCCCAACGTTGGGCTCAATCTCAACTCTGAGATCATGACCTGAGCTGAAACCAAGAGTCAGACGCTTAACTGACTGAGCCACCCAGGGGCCCCTTCATTTTTCTCATCTTTAATTAGAAAATAAAATAGTTTTCTAAAGCACCACAGGGATGTTCATAGGGATTGTTCCAAGGGGCTGTAGTGATGACAGCAAAGGTAATATTTATTCAAAATACCACAAAACAATAGAAAGAATGTCAAATTTAGAATCAAGCAGACCTGAATTCACTGGAAGTCAAATCATAGCTTCTCTTCTTAGTGATGGTTGGACTTTGGGCAAGTTTGTCTTACTCTCTCTCTCTCTTTTTTTTTTTAAAGGTATCTATCCCATATATTGGAAGGAGTAAAGCATTTATTTTGCTCTGGAAGCTCAAGGGTGATTGATTCTCTTGGAAGGATCTTGAAAGGCACCAAGGAGGAGGTGAATTTGAAGGTGGCTGCTTGAGGGAAGGAAATTTCTAGGGACTAGAAGATTAGTGTAGGTGAGTTGGAGAATCCTCCTAGTAGGCTGGCGTCATTGGCAAATAATGGCCAATATTATTGAGCAACCTATTAGTTTTCTATTGCTGCTGTCACAAATTACCACACCTTTAGCGGCTAAAACAATATAAATTTTATATCTCGCAGTTTCTGTGGGACAAAGTTCCGACATCCATCTCACCTAGCTAGAAATCAAACCCATGCTCCCTCCTGGAGGCTCTTGGGCAAGAATTCACTTCCAAGTTCATTCAGGGTGTGGACGTCAGTTCTTTGTGGTTAGGACTGAGGTCCTTGTTTCCTTGCTGTCTGTCAGCTGAGGGCCACTTTAGCTCCTAGAAGCCTCTCTGTTGTCTTCATCTGTGGCCTACTCCATTCTTCAACCCATAGTGGTGGGTCTTGGTCTTGTTTCGAAGAGCTCTGATTTCTTCTGCGGCATCTGTTTTCTGACATGCACCTTTAATAAACCCAGCTATCCAATCATACTCAGCGCTGCCCGTGGCTCCATTTCCGTGGGTGAGGACAGGGTGGAGGCTGGAGGGGGGCTTTGTGGCCCTTCTGTCCTGCTCACCTCCATCCTGGGTCCATGAGCTGACTGCAGAGCCTGGCTTCCACCAGGAGCAAGCAAACTGTGACATGCTTGAGGAGACGCCTTCGGGCAGGTGTCTGGAGGCAGAGCCCAGGTGTGGACGCAGGATCCACCATGGCAAGGAAGGGAGGGCAGTGGGAGTGTCTCTGCCTGACCTCAGGGGGCTCTGAAAGGTACACAGCGCCCCAGGGGCAGGCGGGCCCTGGAAGCCAGGGCCAAGCAGGGAGGCGTGAAGTACGTTGCACCAAAGGCAAGCTGTTAGCAGCTGGGGAAGGGTGCACTGGGGGCCAGGGGGCCCCTGGACAGGCTAGCTTTGGCATCCATTGCTGCAACTGGAGCCACGGCCACATTTCCTGCACACATCTGTCCCCCATGGCCCAGTTTCTGGTTTCCAGTTTTGGGGGTCTTTCAGGCTTAAACAAGGCTCCCCTTCTTCAAGGAAAGAAAAACACTTCCTGGGATGCTCAGTGTCACCCGTGTTAGGGCCCTGCTGTGGTGGGTCCCCATGCTTCTCTGAACTTCCAGGGACCGCAGCTCACGGAGTCACTGGCAGGCCGCCAGCTGCAGAGGGGATCTTATCTGAGGGACTCAGTAGGGACACCCATGAGCAGCCTGGCCTTTGGGCCACCTCTTGTAGGTCATCACTTCTCTGGTCTTCTCATGGTTTGTCTTCTAGGGTGAAAAGCCCTTTCCAAGATCCTGTCCTGCTCCATGCCCGTACACCTGCCCACAGGCAAAGCTTGCCAGGACCAAGGCAGCCCAGTGAGGACGCTGGGTGACTGACCAGCTCATCCTCTCACGGGAGCCCAGACATGATGCCCCTCTGTAATCAGATCTCTCAGCTAACAGGTCGGTCCTGCATCCAACCATGAACCAGAAAGTGCCTGCTAGAAGAGTACCCATGCCTTAGATCAGGGTGCTAATGGGTGGCACCTGCCAGAAGCCCTATCTCAGATCTGGGCCCTGCTGGGCAATTGCTCCTCATACAGCCATGGCCACTGTTGTGGAAGAGGCGATAGAACCCCCATGCTCTTCTGGAACTTCTGGGGGCCCACAGTTCGCACAGAGATGGGCAGAGAAAGCAGGATGAGTTTTGCCAGCTCAGTCTATTGGGATAATGTGGTGAAGCTTGGTCATCAGAGGAAGGGAGGGAAGGATGGATGGACTGGCCTGCAAGTGCTAGGGACCCCACATGGAGTCCAGTCTGGGCTCCCTGGCTCCAGAGTTAGCTCCAGGTACCGGGCCATGCCTAGGCCATGGAACAGAGAGCCTGGAACCTGTTTCTGGGACCCGGGGGCCCACATCTGACGTGTGCCAGCTCAGGTGTGGTGGGAAGGACTGAAGGTTCCAGCAAGCCTGTGGTACACCCTGCCCAGGGGGCACATGTTCAGGCAAGCAGGTGAGCCAAGTCAGCCCAAGGAGGCAGCCATGGCCCCTGGCAGGGCCACCTACTCTACATGGTGAACATCCTGCTCTAGCTCCTCATAATTCAGCTGCAGCTGCTGATTCATGGCTATGTAGGCCAGGCTCTGGTGGTAGGGCTGCTCCAGCTGGACCTATGTCCTCCGCCCTCCCAGGGAAGTCTGGAGAGTCTTCTGGGACCAGGATGGTGAAAATGGGGTCCTTTGTGGGTGCCTCCCACACATCCTCCAGGATCTGCTCCACCGTGGGAGGCCCTGAGCCAGTTGTCAGCACCACTCTCTTCTTGGCCTTGGAACCCACCCCCGGGTGTGCTGTCTAAGCTGCCAGCACCGCTGAGCACTCACTTCCATGTACTGCTGCATCTCTTCCACCTCTAGCCAGAGAAAGCGCTCATGTAATTAGATTTGGCTCACCCACAAAATCCAGGATAATCTCCCCATTTGAAGGTCCTTAATCTAAATTATATCTGTGCTATTTCTTTCTCAGGTTCTAGGGATAAGGGTGTGGACATTTTGGGGGGCCATTGTCCCTACCACAGGTCTTTATATGGGCCAGGCACTTTGCTAAATGTGTTCTATGTGTTATCTCATTTAATTGCCTCAGTAACTCCATGCAATTCAATTCTTTTGGTTACTCTATGACAGAGGAAACTGGGATTCAGAGATGTTAATCAGCCTGTCCAGAGTCATACAGTTAGGAAGCATGAAAGCCAGAATTTGAGGGTAGGTCATCTGAGTCTAGAGCTCATATCCTTATAGAGTATAATATCTAGAAGGAAAAGTCACCAAATTGGAAAGCCTTGAATGCCAGAGTGAGATGCATGGGCCCTTTTTTTGTGTGCAGCAACACCCCATGTCATCATGTGGGGAGAAAACACTTAAAACACAGACATTCTGTGGAAGACTGAATGGTATTTGGAAAGCATGGGTTAGACACATTCCTGGGAGACGGAAGGCAGACTACAATTTTCAGGAAACACTGAATTAGTCTCAAGAAATTATATTCTTGGAAAAAATCCGACGTGGTCTGTCAAGGTACAGATATGACCATGGAATAGATAAAAATACAAAATTATTAGCCTACCTTCTGGGAGGTCTCCATAGGCTGTGATGGAGCCTGAATGAAGGTCATTATTGGTTTATTTAATATCTTCACAAGTGATCTTGGAACACGGAATCTTCATCTTTTTAAACGAAATTCATGAAGATAACAAATGGCTCAAGTTACAGTCATCAAAGAGGACAGAAGAAATGTTGGCAGGAAATATTTCCCATTCAACTTGGTTGGGGGGGGAGGAAGGAATTCAAAACACAGATAGTCACTAAGATAAGGAGTCTGAACAGAGCCATCATGATTTAAGAGTCCTGCAATAAACAGAAAAGACAGAGAGAAAATCATGAAAGTGAAATGTGGTAGCTAGCCTGAGCACTGGTTCCCGGATGTGCAAATTTCCAGATGTCACAAACTTATGTGCTTTGGGGCACAGCTGGAAGGAGGCCCCTGGTCACGCCCTGGGCTGGCTTCCGGAGTACCAGGGAGTAGGAGTAGTTTGGGGGGAAGCTGAGGCAGAGCAGCACAGAGAGGGTTGGAGAACAGGGTCAAGTATGAAATGCATGTTATGGAGAGCAGCTGCACCTCCTCTCACCTTGCCCACCTGCCCTCCCCACTCAGTTAAAGTCTTTGGGACTGGCCCACAGGGGCTGTGCTTCTCCCTGAAGAATCTCTCAGGAACCTCCTCCATCTTCATGATGTCACTGTATGAGTCCGATTGGTTGGTAACTACTGGCTTTCTTGACTCTCCCCTTCTCTAAACTGAGGCTCCTTAAAGCCATTTGAGGAAAACAGGTTAGGAGGCTGTCCACAAGGTGGCTTTAAATCTTTTTTTGGGTCCAAGATCCCTTTAAAATTTTGATAAAACTATAGGTATTTTTTTCCCTAGAAAAATAAAGGCACAATCACAAAAATATTTGTATACAAGTCTAGAGGATTCATGAAGCCCCTCCAACCCAGAGGGAATCCTCTGGTCTAGTTCCTCCAGGTTAATAACCTCATTGTTACAGCAATAGCAAATGCTCAACTCTCTTGTTACAATCTTCACCACTCCCTACCTCAGCGCCCCCCACCACATGCCTCCGTGCATTGGTAAACATTTTCCTGCTGAGCCTGGTTATGGTTTCAAAAATCTACCTTAACACAGTACTCTGCCAAGTAGTCCTACCAACACTTCAAAACTGGCACCAACTTCAATCCTGAGAGTAGCAAGAGAAGCTAGGAGAAAGACTCATTCAAGTCAAAGGAAATTTTCTAGGTGGAAGGAATGGGAAAAGGCTGAATAGGATGAGGATGGAGAAAAGGATTATTGGAATAGTCAATTAGATGCTTGGGAACTTAGAAGAGGGCACTTTAAGCAGAACTATGGGTTGCAGCCAGATTGCACTAGGCTAAATTGATGGGTCCACTTGAAGGTATTCTAAATAATCGGGTTGTATGCATAGTGACAAACATACAAGGATGTTTACTATGGTATTATTAAAATAGTACTAGTACAAATTGAAAACAGTCTAAAAGTCAAATATTAGAGAATTTGGTTAATTTGATTCTAATGCATCCATACTATGGAATAATATTATATTAGTAAGACCTCTTTAAGTAACAGAAACTTGAATCAAACTAGTTCAAGCAAAGACAGAGAAAAGGAACTTGTTAGCTAATGCAATGAAGAGTGCAGAAATTGTCTGGATTTAAGCAAATGCTGAGATGATGTCCTCTGATCTTGAAATCTCTCTCTCCCCTCCCTTCCCTGCTTCCATCCCCTCCCCCTCCCTCTCCCATCTCCTCTGAGATAGATTCATTTTTAGAGATTTCTCTACATGGTGGAAAGGATGGCCTCCATGGTTCCAGCATTTCTAGAGCTCACTGTCTCCACAACAGAGAAAACTTCCTGTCTCACCTTCTAGGCCAGCACACTGGCCCAAGAATATTGGTCCTGTTTGGGTCACTTGCCCATCCTTCAACCAACTGCTGTGTCCAAAGAGGTGGAGTACTGCAATTGGTCAGCTGGAGCGCATGTGCCTTCCTTGACAAACCCATCAGAGTAATGTTATGTGAGGAAAAGGCATCCTCCAACGGAAGAACGATGACGCCCCCCAAAAACTGTCCATCATAATGGCAAACTTATTTTTTTTAACATAATGTAGATCTATTTTATGAGCACAGAGGCTTTGGGAGATGGGGAGAGATTGAGGTCCCATCACAGCTCTGCCTGGAATTCTTGTGCCTGGAACCCCCACCTGACACTCCTATCCCTTCTACTTCTCTAGACTAATGACTACATGGGGCGGGCACAATAATGCCTCCCTTCTCTAAAGATGTTCACGCACAAATCCCTGGAGCCTGTGAATGTGTTGCCTTACTTGGCAAATGGGACTTTGCAGATGGAATTAAGTTAAGAATCTTGAGCTAGGAGATGACCCATGGAAAGATGCTCCATTTACACTGTGAAGTAAGAAAAGCAAGTTACTGAACACAATGTAGAAAATAATTTTATCTTTATCTTTAAATCTGTTTAACTATTTATGTACATATATGCATGGAAAAAAGTTTAGGAAATGTACTCCAAGATGATAACAGAGTTATTTCTGAGGGGTTGTGATAGTAGATTTTTTTCCCTTTTGCTTGTATGCAGTTTCTAACTCTTCTACCATGAGCATTGATGACTTACATAATTCACATCTATAAGCCCAAGAGGTGAAGAAGAGGAAGCAGCCATTAAGGAGAAAGGTGGGATGGTATTGTGAATGGGAAGCATGTTGGAAAAAAAAAGTTATTTGCTTATTCATTTTTGTATTTATTTGCACCGGGAACACCTGTTTATCAGCTGAGGCAACAGGCCTGGGGATTCTGAAGAAGGAGAAGATGCACAAACAAGGAAATGAGACAGGGAGTAGCATCTCTAGGACTAGGGGTTGAGGGAGGACCTCATCAGGACTGAGAATGGGCCCCTTGAGGGGGCAGGAAGGAGAGAGGAAAAGCTGGGAAGAAATGAAGCAGCTTCTAACGGAAGGGGAAGGTAGTCAACAACCTAAGTCTTCTAAGCAAAGAAGCATGTGGGCGAGGGGGCTAGAGTGGGCTGGGGACTTCAGAAAAGTGGAAACAGTTGGAAATTGTGCTGTGGGGAATGGTGGGGATCCATCAGGATCAGTGGGGCTTTCTGAGCAGCACTGAGGGCCCAGCTGAGATTAGATAATAGGGATTTGTCATCGTGCTAATCATAGCAGAGGCATGACTTTTTCCAGTGACACTGAGCAGCTTGGGAACAGAAGCAAAGCCAGCAGGGAGAAACCAGCGTGCCTAGCTGCATGCACCAAGACTTTGGATTCTGAGCGAGGGGCTCCTCATTGGACCTCAGTGACTCCCACTGAGCTTCCTGATTCAGTTCTTTGATATGGAGCCCATGACACTGCTCTTCCCTGTGCTGTACGTGATGGTTGCTGGGTATCGTTCAGGCCTTGCTGAGATGAATCCAGGAGCTTGCCAGTGAGAGTGTTTGAGAAGCCAAAAACAAAAAGCAAAAGCCAAAATAATGCAGGGAGACAAAGGATATAAGCAAATGGTGCTATTGTGCTACTGGGAGGACCCAGGAGAAAAGTGGAAGGGGCTAGGGTAGTTTTCAAAGCAGAGATAAAGCCGAGGCTGACCTTCAAAGGATGAGTAAGAGTTAACCAGGCCAGGTAAGTGGGGAGGGCACCCCTGGAGGGGAAGCACATGAGCAAAGGAGGAGGCATGAAGATGCGTGTTGTATATAGATAGCCACACACAACTGAGTGTCATTACAGGGTGAAGTAAAGGGGAGAGCATGGTGGGAGACAGGGCTGGAGGGGGCTGTCAGACTCACCCCGAAGGGCAGAGGAAAAGGGTCCTATGAAGGAACTTGAGAGAACAAGATCAGAGGAATAAAAAGAGGAAAAAAAGAGAGTATGGTCTCCGAAATCAAGTTAGTCAAGAGGTAATTAGGAAGAAATGATTGACAGTCCGAAGTGTCCTAAAGATGCCCAAGGAAAACATTTCAAAAATCTTATCAACAGACTTGGCAATTAGATCACATATGACCTTTGCCAAATGAGTTTTGATGGAGTAGTGGGCACTGAAGACCACAAGGAATGGTGGCAGGTAGGGGTGAAAATAAAAAGAACAAGTGGAAATCATCTGAGAAGTCTGGCTCAGCAGAGTAGACAAGGGAAATAGAAGTGAGAAGGAATTGGAATTTTAAGAGAGGATGTATGCGTTTAAGGATAGGAGAGATTCTAGCAGAGGCTGTCAGGAAGGCGCAGGAGAGGTGGAATGAATAGCACGGAACCCTTGGGATGGGAAGGGGTGAGTTTCAACAGGAGGAGGGATGCCTCTTTCTCTGAGTTTAAAGGAGGGGTATCAGCATACATACAGGTGTAGCTATGTTGATGAGGAGGGAGCAGAGCTGTTCTTGTCTGACTGCCTCCATTTCCCTTATTAAGTAGGCAGCATGGTGATCCCCTAAAAGTGAGGAAGTGAGGAAAACAGAGGAGTTAGAAAGAGAAGGCCCATCTAGCAAGTCCCCATGAGAGGGCCGTTGGAGAGCACGGGACCTGTTCAGGCTGCAGGAAGTACACGAGGTCAAGTGTGGAAAGTGCACAGATCAGAGCCAGGCAAATAAAGGCCCCCAGTAAATGGGAGAAATTATCCCCAGGCAAGAAGAATCCTGAGGGCCTAACAAACCTCAAAGGGACAAAGTCCCAGGTGGGGGCAGTGATGGGTCTGAAGGCCAATCACATGTGGAGACTTGAAGGCAGATGTCTAAAGGAATGATTTTTTTTTTTTTAGTAGTTTGAAAACATTGCTTTCTAGCATCTGGGTGTTCAGATTTGGAAGGAAGAGCCCAGTTCTCTAAAACAAAGAAAAATTGCAAATTCAGGAGCCATGTTGTAATTCCATAGGCAGAAACAACTCCAAACTCAGTCTCTCCTGTTAGGGACTGACTAACCTCAGAGACTCCAAATCCAGAAAGATTAAATTGATAAAGGGGACATCACACTGCAGCCTGAGGTGATGTGGTTCAACATAGAGGGGAAAAAACCCGATCCTGTTGCTCAGGTACGTTGAATGGCTAGATCTACCTCAGGATGTTATCTTATTCAGTCTTCGAATGAGTCAGCAAAGTCGACAAAAACAAGGCTTTGTGAGCGTGTCCCTAGTTAAGCTGGATTTCTCAGGCAGGTGCAGGCAGTGTGTGCAAACACGCCAGTCCTTTTACTTGCTGGTGGCGCCACGCCCGCCACGCCCCGGGGAGCAGGTTCAGAGGAGCAGCTCTGCTGTTGCACTCACCGGGGTCGATCCCACCAGCCCCACTCAAAGAGTCCCATCACCCTCCAAGCCACAGTTCTGTCATCTGTAAAATGTGGATGATATCAGCATCTATTTCCAAAGGTCCCTGTGAGCATTCAATGAGGTAATGCATATACAGCACTTAGCACTTTTGCCTTGCAGATGGAAAGTGGTCAGTAAATGTTAGTCCTTAATATTATGAGTAGCCTGGCTTTCCTAGAACTCATTCTCGGCTTTTTAATGTCCTTTCACCTGCTAAGTTGTTTCACTGATCCATGAGCCACAGTCAGATGAGGTCCCAGAAGATAGGGCGGCCATGTTGTTTTTACAATATCACAATTTGCTGAGCTCTGTGGATGACAAAGAGATGCCATTCAGACAGAATGCCTTCAAACAAAAGCAGCTAAGTGGGTCTCATTAGTAGCATTAGTGTCCTAAGGAGAGAAAAGCACAGCCTCTCCTTAGCTAGAGGTGTTCCAGACTGCTCTCTTTGAATACTGGAGTCAGAGGAGGAATAAGAGAGAAATTAAAAACCTATTAGCCCCAAACTGAGACTTTTCCCCCCTGAAGAATCAGAAAAATTAAAAAAGAATTGAAAAGGGAATAACTTTCTTATTATAGGTATCAGTGTTATTTAATGCTGTGTCTGTATGCCACTTCAAATCAGCTCAAGTACTCCCAGTTGTATGTGTCCCATGCTGGTCTAAGGCAGTCCATTTTACTCCTCATTTCAAAAGCTCTTCTAAGGTGGAGAGTGAGCCGTGTCAAGATGGGGAAGTGGCTAAGCAGGAGGGGCTCTGAGGCTGTACCCCTAAGTTAGAGCAGCTCTGCTCTTATTCAGTTATGTGAACTACTTCATTAAATTTTTTAAAAATTTATTTATTTGAGAGAGAGAAAGAGAGCATTAGCAGGGAGGAGGGGCAAGAGGGAGAGAGAGGGAGAAGTAGGCTCCCAGCTGAGCAGGGAGCCCAAGGACATGGGACTCCATCCCAGGACCCTGGGATCATGCCCTGAGCTAAAGGCAGATGCTTAACTGACTGAGCCATCCAGGCATCCCAGTACTTCATTTTTTAAAGGGTTACATTGCTAGAAAAGAAAAATCTTGAAAGCCACCAGCCTACTGATTAATAGCATCCATTTATCATACATCTGCTATGGGCCGGATACTTTATATACTTTAAACTTCTCTCTACAAGGTAGCTTACTAATGGAAGAGGCAGCTGATACTCTGAAAGATGAAGGAACCCATCTAAAGTAATTCAGCTAGTAAGTGTTAGAATTGGCATTGCAACCTAGTCTGTCTGCTCCCTTTCCACTTGTACATCTTGCTCTGGAATTCTTTCAATTCAATAAACATTTATTAAGATTCTACTACTTTCTAAGCTCTTGTTAGATTCTGGGATTAGAAACTCACAATCTATTGGAATAGAAAGGCATGTGAATAAATATTTACGCAAGTGTTTTGGAATGCTATGCTCCAATGAAACATGGAGCGAAGAGTGGTGAGTTCCAAGTGATGGGGTGAGAGAGTGGTCATTTAGGCTTCTTACAGGTGGTGATGCTACAGGGCGCAGTGACAAAGAGGAATGTTGGGAAAGAGGACAATGGAGAGTGAGGAAGCCAGAGTTTATCAGGCTTTGTATGTCATCCATGCAAAGACATAGAACCCTGGAGTCTGAGAATTGCATCATTTAACTGACTTACACTTTTTCTCCCCCTGTTCACTCTCCTCTAATATTCAGTTGTTTTGAAAATTCCAGCCTTACCTAAAGAATCTGTGGAAGAGATTTGTTGCCATTTTAGGAGGAAAATGGAAAGATGTCTGAAGAAAGATAGAAAGGTATTTGGAGGAGTAGCCCCCCTCCCACCAAGGTGTATGGACTTTAGACAGTGGGGAGCCAGTGAAGGATTATAATGCTAATTTATCATACTGTAGCTCTGAAGTCAAGTAGGGCCTCCTTGACCCACAAGATCCAGCTAAACCGGCCTCCCAGCTCCAATTTCACAGCCTGGGGAAGCCCTGTGTCTCCCCCAGTATTTGTTTCCCGAAGACTGATTCTCTCATGGCTCATTTGTCTGTAGATTTTGTCTTCCTCCAGTGCCGTCTTTGTGTTGCACCAAGGATGACCCCAACCAGACATGAAAGTCAATGTCCAAAAGAATTCACTCACATAAAAGCACAAGTGAGCATTGTAGATTTGACTAAAGATTTCTTAGAGGCGTCAGGAGATTTTACAGCAGTCACATGAAGCTCCACTTTTAGACAATCCTATTCTCTGCAAATTGGTCTTTCATGCAGTATCCAGCCCAAAGCACCTTTCCTCATTTCCTGGATTATCTGTTGGAACATCAAATTCTTCTCTCAATTACTGAAAAATTCATCCATTTCCCAGACCCAGGAACAGATCTGGACTAGGGCCCAAGGATTAAGATCAACTTCAAGGGCGCCTGGGTGGCTCAGTTGGTTAAGCGACTGCCTTCGGCTCAGGTCATGATCCTGGAGTCCCTGGATCGAGTCCCACATCGGGCTCCCTGCTCGGCAGGGAGTCTGCTTCTCCCTCTGACCCTCCCGACCCTCCCCCCTCTCATGCTCTCTCTATCTCAGTCTCTCTCTCAAATAAATAAATAAAATCTTTAAAAAAAAAAAGATCAACTTCAAGCCTTAAACACTTATAAAAGCTTGTTCAGTCCATCTCCCACAACTTTCAGGCCAAAATACATTCTTCATAAGAGGAATCCTGGTGCATAATTTTCCCTATCTGGTTATTAAAGAATTAAGATAAGAGTAGGCTTTTGATCCAAAAGATCCAGGGACCCCTGGGTGGCTCAGTCGGTTAAGCATCTGTCTTTGGCTCAGGTCATGATCCCAGGGTCCTAGGATTGAGTCCTGCTCAGCAGGGAGCCTACTCCTCCCTTTCCTTCTGCCTGCCACTCCCCCTGCTTATGCTCTCTCACTCTGACAAATAAATAAAATCTTAGAAAAGAGTAAAGCCGGGCGCTTGGGTGGCTCAGTCGTTAAGTGTCTGCCTTTGGCTCAGGTCATGATCTCAGGGTCCTGGGGTCGAGCCCCACATCGGGCTCCCTGCTCAGCGGGAGGCCTGCTTCTCCTTCTTCCACTCTCCCTGCTTGGGTTCCCTCTCTTGCTGTCTCTCTCTCTGTCAAATAAATAAATACAATCTTAAAAAAAAAAAAAAAGAGTAAAGCCATAACAATGTTTGTAGTGGATGACCTCCCTACAAGAATAAAATCCCCCTCTTTAATCCCTGGGGGAAAAATGTGTCAGAACCAACTTTAGATAGTCAGGAGAGGGGATTCGTTTTCAGTCTTGTCAATGGAAAGAGTCAAGGTGATTAAAAGAAGATCCTAGGTGGTGGGGTGTCAATATGGCATCACCCATGCAACAATGGGATGGGAGCTTTAATTTTTTTTTAATATTTTATTTATTTATTTGAGAGAGAGAGAAAAACAAGCAATGGGGAGGGGCAGAGGGAGGGAGAGAGAGAGAGAAGCAGACTCCCTGCTGATCAGGAAGCCCAATGCAGGGCTTGATCCCAGGACCCAGAGATCATGACCTGAACTAAAGGCAGAGGCTTAACCGACTGAGCCACCCAGGCGCCCCGGGATGGGAGCTTTAAAGTGAGGGTCTAGGCAAAGGCTCTGGGAAGTGATGTCAGCTCATTCGGGTAGTTAGCTCATTGCCATTCATGGATCCTTTCTGATACCGGAAGAGGAGAAATCCTGAGAACAATTCAGCTTAGGTGGAGTCAGAGCCTATGCTTTGAATCCCTCACCTCTTGAGTCTGGAGATGGTAAAGGAATGAACTTTATTTGAAACATCCTTTGGTGGTAAGAGTAGAGGACCCTGGGAAAGATGATGGGAGGTCTGTCTGGGTTGTGGGGAATTTTGGTACAGATTCTACGTCTAAGGGACCTCAAGGGCCAGAAGAGGATTTTGCATCTTACTTGTTTATTTTGACTGGTGTACAAAGTGGTCTGATGAGGTACCTTTTTTGAAATCCATGGGTAAGGCTGAGGGAAGAAAATGTCTCTCCTCTCTCTCTCCATCAGGCCACCATGCAGAAAGCAGAATCCATTAGAGTATCTTCTCTGCCCTTTTTAATTCTTTCTCCTTGTCAGGCTTTCTGTAGACATTCTCTAAGTGGTACAAGGCTCAGTTACCTTCTCTGATAAGCTAAGATCTCTTTTTTATACCCCGGTTATCTGGTATGTCTTTTCTTTTAAATGGAGCATGGTGTGGGGTTGTTGAAGGGAGAGGAAGAGGAGGGGACAGACAGGGTCTCTTGCACCTCTGTGAGTCCTGAATGACATAGGTCTTGCTCTGGCTTCAGATCAGATATGCAAGATCCATGGGAGTCAGAGGCAATCACACCAACCCATCAGAGTTTTGCTGCCCTCAGGAAGAATCCCTGGTACTGACACCAGGAGCACAGCCTGAAGAGCTGGTGGCTGGTCAGAACCTCACTGGTAGAAATTTTGTGTTTATTTTTTATTTTTTTGAATATTTTTTTTAAAGATTTATTTATTTATTTATTTATTTATTTATTTATTTATTTATTTATTTATTTATTTATTTGACAGCAAGAGAGCGAGATAGCGAGAGCAGGAACACAAGCAGGGGGAGTGGAGAGGGAGAAGCAGGCTTCCCACCGAGCAGGGAGCCCGATGTGGGGATCACGACCCGAGCTGATGGCAGACGCTTAATGACTGAGCTACCCAGGCGCCCAGAAATTTTGTGTTTAAACTTGGCCTGCAACCAGCTGTGTCCCCATCCCTCACCTAACCCAGTTCTCTCAGACAAAAGAGAATGGGGGTGGAGGGTGGGGATTACATTGCAAATGACACCACGAGCTTCTAGAATATTATCCAAAATTATTTCACAGCAGAAGGAAATGGATGGGTTCAAAGATACAGGAAGAAATCAGAAGCCTTCACTCTGAGGCAATTTGGTCTCATCTACAGCAAATAAGCCATGAGTGACTAGACCTTTCCCATATTCTTGCTCCATTCCCACATTCCATGAAAAACATTACACCAGTACAGCCTTGTTTCACTTTTCTGTTTCCCAGCCAGAACACTGATATGACAGGTCAAGTTATCAGTAAGGGTGAAGGCCAGGGCTGGCCACTCATCAGCAGGCCCAGGGCCCATGAGAGCAGTGGCCAGCGGGACCCTGCCAACCCAAGCACACAGTAGCAATAGCAGTGGCAGTGGGCATGTAGTTCCAGCAATAATTTCTCTCCCTAGTGCATGGGAGTTTGGGGGCTGGGTGGTCAGTAGAACCTCAAGCCCAGACAATTCTACTTTCACTCTGCCCGCTAATTACTGCACCACTTACATCTCCTGGCCTTGATCATTGTAAGATTCGGGTTCATGTGGTGTTTTGTTTGTGCATCTATCTGAAAGGTAGCCACATATATATATTTATAATGGGTTCAAAAATCTACAAAATAACTTCTCTTAAACTGTATGTGATTTCTATTTTGTGCTATTCTTCTATCGGGTGGTAGAAAGTTAATCTCAGTCTGTTTGAGCATGCCCACTTTTTTTCCCTGGAGATGCTTCTAAGTGGTACATGGAGGTACAGAGTGCATTGGATCTGTGAGGCTATGTGCCTGTGCTGGTATCTGCTGAGATGTCCAACAACCTTTTGGGTCCTCAATCATCTATCCACATGGGGTGCTTTTGAGTTAGTCTTCACTTGGACCTGAAAGCCCCTTTGGGGTTTGTGACAGTCTTGGCCTCTCGAATGATTCTGCAACTCCAGTGCCACATCAGGACACAGGGCATTCTCTGACTGTCTAAAACTCCACCTGCCTACACAAAGGCAATCATTTCTTCTTGAACAACTTTCCAGCTTTCCAGACACAAGTTTTCTTTACACTTAAAGCCTACCAACATCCTATTGGGGGTGCTTTGGGCAGAACACCCAACAGGAAGTGACTTAGAGCATAAGGTTACCTATTATCCTCCATGGCAAGAAGTCTAGAAGTCAGGGGTAATAAGAAGACTGACTTTTAGTCTCTCGTAACATTTCAGCAACATAACAATGTCATCGAGGACCCATGTACTTCCCACATCTCTCTGTGCCACTCTCAGCATGTGGACAGTTATCCTGAGGCTTTTTCCACATGGTTGGAGATGGCTGTCACTGTCTCAGACATTACCTTCTCGCACAGCCATTCCAAAGGCAGGGGAAAAAAGCCTCCCATATCTTTATTTTTTTTTATTTTTAATTTTTTCCCCATATCTTTATTTTTTAAACTGAAGAATGTGAAAGACGAAACAGACTGTCTAATAAGAAAATGATTTTATTCAAGATATTGCAATAGGAAGAGTGTTCATGAATGAGAAAGTTCTCCAAGAAAAGGTACGGGGCCTGGAATTTCAATAGAGGCAGGTCAACAAGAGGGTCATCCACCGTCTCATAAGGTCATGAAGAAGGATGGAGATCGGTCTTCAGTATACGGAAAAGCTTTGAGGTAGCTGTTTCTTGGGACATAAGAGTGAAAGGATTTCAGAGAACAAAAGTGTGGGGAAATTTCTTACCTATCTCTGTTTTCTGTGAGCACAGGGCTCAGGTAAAGTTCAATACTATCAGTCTGCCCTTTTGTTCAAAATGAATGAATATTGCTTGTCACTGAACAACTCAAGGGTGATCATGAACTCTCCAAGTGGAGTAAAGCAGGGTCTAAGAAGTAGCCTTTCTAGGACTTTCAGTTGCCTCTACTCCTGCAAAACCAGTTGAGCCATCCGCAAAGAGATGGTAGCAAAAGTTGATTATTTTACAATCCTGGAAATCAGGCATCTTAAAAGAAGGATGTTTAAAGTGCAAAAGGAAACTATTAATTAGGTTTGTATTAAAGTAAAGAACCAAGAGTTGAACACTGAGTGTAACCAATCCAGTGGATTCCAACAGGCCAGTGGAGGTGAATCATCCAGTTATGCAGGATCACTCATTGAGTGTCTCAAAACTCTTGAGCTAGGATGTTGATGCTCTTGGTGATG